GGGTGTTGTTTTGTTTTTATTTTAATGACTGAGATGGCCTGTTCTGAATGCTGTAGATCAGGTTTGGTTAACTAGCATTGCTCCAGGGCTTCATGCTGTGTAGGGATTCCTGTGCTGCAGAGCCTACTTCTTGTTTGGTGACTCCTCCCTAATTCATTGTCCGCTTTCACCCCAGTGCCTATTTCTATTTTCTGTGCTTTTTGTGGTTTTGTCCAAATGCAGGTAATAACCTGCTTTTTCTAGGATCTGAAAACAACTTTGTTAGTTTTATCTACTCTTATTTCTAATTGTATTTTGCTCTTCTTTATGTCAACTCTGTGATAACCTGCAAGGCCCCATCTCATAAGAATACAAACACATTGTTCAAGGGTTAGGTTTTTTTTGGGGTCATTAACAGCTATGATTAGATGATAACACTGAGCTCTACATAAGACTAGTAGACATCGTCTAAATTCAATACATTACTCAAAACTGGTACTCTGTAGCTTTATGAGATATTTTTCAACCTATGTAACAATTTATTGCAGAATTATTGCATTTGGAATAAATATTTAAAAGAATAAGAGATAACTTTTAAAATAGTTTATTAAAATCCACATGAGAACTATACCACTTTCCTCTTTTCACTCAGTAATATATTCCAGCAAACCCTTCATTGAATCATTAGTGTAATGTAAACCCACTGTGTGCAATGCTTTTCTTTTACTCTCTTTTATCTGTATAATTTTTTCAATATGCTCGTTCTGTCAATAATGGAGGTTAAAACAGAACTAATTGAAATTCTTTTCAAAACGCCTTATGTCTTAATTTATTACTGAAAGGTAATCTTTTCTGATTTTTTCAACGAGATAGCTTACCCTGTTGGCATTTTAATTTAACTCAAATTTCTAAGCTGTTCTTGTTTTTACAATGTTTATAAATTTGGGGGTCGGGGGGGGTGGGGTGGGGTGGTATTTGGAAGCTTTGAAGCAGTCCTTGCCCCTGCCTCAACACTCTGAGCAGCTCTCTCTAAACTTTTATGGCTGTCCTTGCCATTTTACATTGTAGTTGCGGATCTCGGATTTCATGAAGAACTCATTCAATCTGTCCTGGTTTTGCCTGGGATAGAGTTGATTTTCTTCCTCGTAGCTTGTACAGTGCTATGCTTTGGCTGTAGTCTGAGAATAATGCTGATAACACACCAGTGTTCCAGTTGTTGTGAAGTACTGCTCATACTAAGTCAAGGACTCTTCAGTTTCTCCTGCCCTGCCAGCAAGAAGGCTGGAGAGGCACAAGAAGCTGAGTGGACGCAGCCAGGACAGCTGAACCAAACTGGTCAAAGGGATATTGCAGAGCACCTGATGTCATGTCCAGTATATAAACTGGGGGGGGGGGGGGGGGGGGAAGGAGGGTGAAAGCTGGCTGGGAGCCAGATGATTTTATTAAATACAAATATTTTACTATAACTGGATACATTTTTTCTCACTTCTTTCACTCTGTAACACTATCATAAAGAAGAGGTTAAGAATCTCAGCATTCAAAGGATGGGTTAATATCTATATTCTAAACTTGTTTTCTAATCAGTCTTGAAAAGCCCATCCACGATGGTTTGTTATCCAGTGATTGCTAAATTACCTAAAATTCTCTCACAAGTAAATTATTTTGTTACTAAGTCTTTCATGCTCCTCGTATGCTATAATCAAAGTCTATTGAAACTTCTCTCATTTATCATTCATTTTATCTTTCCCAAGACATCTTCCCAGCCAGGCTTTACTTTCACTTCACATATCATTAGCAGTGCACATGACCATGCTATTCTCTGTGTCTTGCACCACCTGCTTTCTCCTGCGTTGTTTAGCCAACTGTAATAAAATGTAAAAGCCTGGAGTTACAAGAAGCTGTTGCTGACCTTCTGTATTGGTAGGTTCAAAACTAAACATTAATGTTATAGTTGTGAGATACGCACAAGCCAGCAGCACACCTTGGTAAAAGATGCCAAAGATGGCCAACAGCATCTAGAGCTGCATTAACAGAACAGCCAGCATTTGTTAGACCGCATGAATAATATTGTGTCCAATTTTGTCCAATTCTGTCCCTCAGTACAGAAGGCATCAATGAACTGGAACAAGTTCACTGAGGGCAACCAGGATGGTTGAAGCTGCACTTGCCCCATGAAGAGACGCTGATGGACTGGGGCTTGTTCAGCCTGGAGAAGAGATGGCTCTTGGGAAACTTGACAGCAGTCTCTGGTACCTACAGGGGTGACAGGAAGGAGATGGAGCCAGGAGTTTCACAGCGCTGCATGGCAGGAGAATGACTGGCAGCAGGCATAAATTGATGCAAAAGTGGTTCAGGCAGGATATGAGGAAAACCTTTCCTCCCCATGAGGGCAGTCAGGCGTGGAGCTGGTTGTCTGGAAAGGTTGCGCCATCTCCATTCATGAAGGAGACAACTGAATAAAGCCCTGAACATTCTGGTCTGACCTCAGAGCTGGTATGCTTTGAGCAATAGGTTGGATTAAAGACCACCCAAAGTCCTCCCTGTCTGAATTATACTGTAATTCTATGATTACAAAGATTTGCCACAGACCAGTATTATCATGTAATATCATTGTCATAGATCCCCCTATTAAAATTGTTCAGACTTACCATTTAACTGGTTAGCAAAAAATACTAAACTTGTAATAGTAATAGCTGATGGTGAGATCTACAGCTCTCGCTCATTTCATATACTCTTTGCTATTGTGTAGAGACTCTAGAGCACATTCATGCTCTCATTCTTTGCCTTCTGTCTCCTAGCAACTCCATCTGCTGCCTTATTTTGTATGTTGGAAGTACAAGTCAGATTTCCTTTTTTTTTAGTTCAGGAAAGCTGCTCCTTCCCTGCTTCCAACCTAGCTTAACACACAGTTTCATATTTTAGATACTGGAACGCCTTTTGCCCAAATAAAGTTCATTTAATTCTGCACTCTTTCATGACCAGACCCTCTTTTCCACAGATCTAGGTGAGTTCTTTACCCATGGCTTCTTGGCAACATAGGAATTCCAGTAACTATTAATATTGTCAGTTGTCCCCAAGACTCGTTAATCCACCTTGGGTTTGAAGGAATGTTTCTGTTGGTTTTTACCCCTATTGTTTGGTCTTTCATGAGCTATAATTAGACATTCTCTGGCATCCATAATTCACACAAATCTCTATTACTCATTCCCTGGCACATGACATAATTCCTTGCCAATATTTGTGGAACGCACTGTGAACTGAGTGGCACTGAGAAGTACGTAATAAAGAATGCTTATCCTGTACATGCCTGTCAGTTACACACCCGTTAAATTTAACTCATCCAGCTCCACTATATTTGTATCCTTGACTACAAGCAATTAACCGTCACTGCAACATAATGTCTTATCTATCCAATGGATAAAACTTCATAGTGTCGGGTGATGGATAGAAAAAAGGAGGGAAAAATCAGTCTGCACTTGGAGGAGACTCAAGAGAGCACATTTCACCTTTTCTTAAAACATTTGATAATTTGTACATAGAGGGGTGACTTTTATCCACAAAATAACAGGCTGATCCTAAGACTTCTTTGTGGCCTACAGAAACATCGTGATGACTTTCGTACATTTTCAATAGAGTTGAAGCTACCTTTTGTTTCAGAGGTCACTGGTTTCATAGTGTGAGTATTCCCCCTTCAATATCTTTAGTCCTTTTCATAGTGTGTAATTTGTATGTTATTTAGTCATCTCTCCAAAGCTCCCCTGTTGATCTTTTAAACTACTTCAGGCATTGCCTTTTCTGATATCAGCAAAAATATTGTTGGGCTGCTCAGTTCTGGATTGGAGTTTATGCCTAAAATTTGGAAAGATGGATTGAGAGGGAAAAAATAGTATGTCTTTATTGAATCCAGGTTAGATTGTTCGCTAAAACAGAATCTAAAATGGGAAAGCTGCAAGTGCAGCAGCTAGAAAGAATTTTTGCTGGTGAACATTCATGAAATTTAAGCTTTATAAATCATCATTCCTAAGATTCTCTCTTTTGAGCTATAGGACTAAGTTGTAACACTGAAGCTATAGTGGTGTATGGATTATATCAGTTTTAGGAGAACAGATTAAAAGCAAAACCAAGCATCAAAGTGTGTAACAATATAGTAACCTTCCCTTATATACCCTTATAGTAACCTTAACTGCACAGACAGTTTAGCTGCAGTCCAGCCAAAATATTTGACTCCATTAGATATGACTCCTAATAAGGAAGGGTGAGTTTCAAGAAAACCCACACAATAAAGGTGTCCAGGATTTTTATTTTTAAAACATTCCTAAGCATTAGTTAATGGCCAGTGGTTAGCAATACAGATGATTGCTGAGTTGGTATATAGGTTATGTACTCATCTATAAAACTCCACCTAATTCCAATATTCCCATGTGGAGACAAGCTCGAATATTGCCCATTGCCCCTTATGTCATTCTGGGGTCTATTGAGGTTGCAGTGAACAGAACCAATAATCGTAGAATAGTTAGGGTTGGAAAGGACCTTAAGATCATATAGTTCCAACCCCCCTACCATGGCCAGGAACACCTTACACTAAACCATGCCACCCAAGGCTCTGTCCAACCTGGCCTTGAACACCACCAGGGATGGAGCATTCGCAGCTTCCCTGGGCAACCCATTCCAGTGCTTCACCACCCTCACAGTAAAGGACCCCCTCCTTATATCCAATCTAAACTTCCCTTGTTTAATGTTTAACCTGTTACCCCTTGTCCCATTACTACAGTCCCTAATGAAGAGTCCCTCCCCAGGTACAAATCCCCTAGAAAGAAAACAAGCATGGGATACAATATATTGGAGTGTTAACTCCTGTAGTTGCCATTAGCAACAACAAAATTAACATGTAAAAAGGATATAATAAAATATATATTTATTTTAATTGACAGAGAATAGATCATTTTTAAAATAAACAATCTTAGCAGGAAAAAAGATGTAATGAAAATATGATCTTTTTAAGAGTTCTTTTTTAATTTGCCCAGCTGCAGTCTTCTGCCATAGTGATCAAAAAAAAAAAAAACATTAAATACAAGGCAGCTGACACTTAAATCATATATATCTTCTAGTTCTCAGCTCAGCATCTGCTACATCATTTCACAGACTTGAAAGTGTCTGGGAAGAGAGACCAAGGTTTAGAAAAATGCATGTTTTAAATGGAAAGCTTTTATTTTTTTTATGACAAAAGACTATGGGCCACATTTCATTGCTACTACACAGTAGGACATTCTGAAACTCACATTTTAATAGAAAGAAAAAACTATCTCTACAATAGCAATTTGGAGGCAATGGCTACCGGAAAAAGAAACTTGACTAGAACATGTGAATTTTCATTATCAGTGAAAATGAGCATGTCCCTTTTTCCAAAAGAAGTAGTAGTGCAGACAAGCTGTTTCTGAGTGGGTAACACCCTTAGGTACCTCCAGAAATGAGTTCAGGGAACCAGTTATCGTTCCTATGTTGCACTGATTCTCAGTACCAGAGAAGAGTTGTTATTTCAGGGGTTTCCTCCTTAAAGTGAAAGGGCATGATTCTTTTCATATACCTATGGAAATCAGGGGATCAAGACAATAGAGTAATGTCAGCATTAAGGAAGTAAAGGATAAGAGACAAGAGCTTGAATATTGCTTTATTATCCCTTTAATTAAAAGGATTAGAGTTAATTAGCCCAGCCTGTAGTGAAATTAAGATATTCTATGCATACACTATTTAACCTTTCTATTATCTTTCTCTAGGTTTTCTCTCTATCTGCTAGGGTTTCTATAAAGTAGCATATTAGATGACTTTGGCCCACATCATTAGAAAAATCAATACATTTTATTTTAGAATCAGATCAAAACACTGTAGCTCAAAAAATCAGAACTGTAAAGCCTATTTAAAGCCTTTCCTCTGCTGGGGGAAGTTATACATTTTTCAAAGCACTTTATAAACCTCAGTACTAGATTTCAAAAACACTGAAGAACTAAAATCCTATTAAAGCCGTACTGATAACCACTAGACCCTGGATGTCCACATGCCTAAGCAACACGTACTCCCTGTCTCTATTTTGAACGGGTTCAGCCAAAACTGTTTTGCCATAGAGAGAGCTAACCCTAAGCAGTGTGGATTTCAGCCAGTCCATGCCATTGGACTCCAAGGCCAGCCACAAATTTGACCCCATTTGACCCCAAATGCCATTTGACCCCAAACCCAGCAATCAGTACTTCACAAAACAGACATATTCAATGAGACTAGAATTTAGAGGCTGGCTCTCAGCCCCAGAATGGGATGGAGTGATGTGATTCCTTTCCTACAGAAGTGCTCACAGGCTAATGATGCACATGCTAACTAGTCCAGTATTATCAGCATATCAGTTTTCACAGAGATTTTCCTAAAACTGATGAATTTACTGAGGCAAAAGAATAGAGATCCTTTTTCTTCCTCCAAAACTCCTGTCGAAAAAGAACAGTACCCTTGTTTGGCTGTTTTGCTAGCCAGACAAGGAGAGGCTTGGTCACACCTGGAGCAAGTGCCTCTCTCCAGTCAGAATTCATCACTGGGAAGAATTGACTGATTGTTATAAATTAAAAGCATGTCTCAAAAGTCATTCCCATTTCTTAAAAAATTGCTGGAGGGTAATGGAGCTGTGTTAGGTGATTTTGGCTGCATTTTCCACATTTATCAAAACCATTTCCATTTTTTAGACAGTAAGAAGGTCGTCCTGGAAAAGAGGGAATACTCTCAATCCTTCCTGCTGAATAAAACAATTACAATGTGGCAGGGAGTGGCAGACAGCACAAAAAGAAAACCTGGTCTCCAATTATGTTTGTTATTCTAGATCCTAGTTTAATGCAGGTACTTCATGTAACCCAGTGTTAAATTACTATCTTTTTTAAGATTACTTTTCCCCCATATTTCTAACTGACCAGTTGTAGTAGCTCTTTATTTGGCTTGCTGGGGTTTTATGCTCCCCATTGATAAGCCCTAATTCTACACAGACATGCACATGCACATGTACACATAAATACATACACAAACACCGAAATACCTGGTGTGCTGCAGAGGGATTTCACTGGGCAGCAATGTCCTTCCAGGCATGTATTGTAACAGCACATTTTGCTGTGAATCCAGACCAGCTGTAGGAAGCTAGTTAGGTGTTTTTCAAAATGTTAGTCACGTTGCTTGGTTACAACACATAATATTTAAGAACTTGAACACAATAGACCTAAGTAACCTGGTGCAAGAAATCATCTAAAAAAGAAAATCCTGTCCATCCTACCACAGAACCCCTGTTTTGGACAATACAGACTAAATTCTACAGAAGATTGCATTTTTGCCGCTCACTTCGATAAAACAGGCTTTTCGTGTTACACTCTTGTTGACAATTCGCCCAGTTTGAACTGTAAACATGACAGCTACTTTCGGAAAAAGGTGAATTTTCACATTGATTTGAAAACCGTGAAGCACAAAGTCCTTTCCAAAAATATCTGAGGGTTTTTGCTCTCAGTGTGGCAGGACTTATTATTCCTTTTCTCGCGATCTCTCTTCTGCCATTAAATGACACCTGGGAAGAAGAATTCAGTTTTGCAGTGCTAAATAAAAACCAACGATAAGGAATATAAGATCCTCAGTTTTGACAGATTACTTTTATAGGATTAATTTATTAGGTTTTCCTAATGAAATATCAGTACGCTACACACTTAACAAGGATGTTCATAATCATTCAAATATTGATACAAACCTCTGTCTGTTGCTATGATACTGCATTCATATTCCCATTTAGGTTATAAGAACATTTGCTCTGTTGTTTACTACAGAAAAAGGTAAGACAAAAAATGGTTAGTTTCATTTTCTCTCCTATTTAAGGAGAACCTAACCCAACTCATTATACCCCTCACCCTCCCTTTTATTAAAATTACAATGCTGAAGATCAGCATTGGGTGTGCCAGTTTATTTTTAACCTAGTTACTATAACATTGAAAATTACTAGATAAAAATTACACATAGGCTCATATGATGAGATATACGTGTCTGATAGAGAACCAGCTCAGAAATGGTTAATGATGGTTTTAATTTCCTCTTCTATCTGTGCCCAACCTGATAATTAAAAGCAGCTGGTAGAGGGGAGAGTTGGGGGGGGGGGGGGGGGTGAGGTGGGGGGTGGTGGTGGTAGGTGTGAGGTTTGCCATACAGGTATTTTGTTGGTCTTGTGGGTTAAAAGAAAAATATGGGGAAAATGACTAAGTTGGGATGCTAAATAATAGGGGTCAGATAAGGTACTGCTTCCCTACCCCCTCCCGTTTTTTTAACCATTTCATTTGAAGCTTGCTCTCTGGTTTGAAGCAGGTTCTTGTACTGTTTCTCCTGTATGTTACCCTGCAACTATTTTGTCGTGGTTTAAACCCAGTCAGGTAACTCGTTCGCTCACTTCCCCCCCTTTTCTTGCCCTCCCCCTGCTCCCGGAGGGACGGAGAGGAGAATCGAAAAGAATGCAACTCCCACGGGTTGAGATAAGAACAGTTTAGTAACTAAGGTATAACACAAATCACTACTGCTACCACCAATGATAATAATGATAAAGGAAATAACAAGGGAAGAGAATACAACATCTCACCACCAGCCAACCGATCTCTCACCGATACCTCCTCCCACCCTGCAGACTCCCTGCCCTCCCGGCTCCCAGTTACATCCTGCGCGTGACGTGCTGTTATGGAATACCTCTTTGGTCAGTTTGGGTCAGGTGTCCTGTCTCTGCTTCCTCCTGGCTCTGAGGCTCACAAAGTCCTTGGACATCATTGTTATCAGCTCTGTTCCCGAGCTGAAAGTCAAAACATTGCACTGCACCAGCTACCAAGAAGGGGAAAAATGACTGCTACTGCTGAACCCATGACATATTTTAAGGTAAGATGGCCTATTTTGCGAGGGCTGGTGATGGAGCTGGTTTAGCCTGAAAATGTGTATCTTGTCCCTTACAGCCTTCTGTTCCTCCTGGGACTGAAATGTGTAGAGGACCATCTACAGCTATACAGTGTAGCTCTGGCTTTGCTGTGCTTTACCTCCTTTTCTTCTTCAGCAGGGTAGCCTTGGCTTTTTTTCTCTTTTCTACAATTTGGGTAACTCTGGAGAGTGAAAGGTATTAAGCAAAATGGTTGTTCAGATTACCACAGGAATGAGAAAAGTTTAAAAGGGAGCAGTGGTCTTGGAGAGGAAAGAGGGAGTTGTGCTTTTCCACAGCATTTCAACTTTTCTTCTGGGTATCTATTGACCCTGTCTGTAGTTTCCTTAGAGCCCTACAGATCTTCCCCTACCCTCTCTTACCTTACCTCCATGGGATCCCACCAGCTTCCTGAAAACCTGCTTCTCCACATAAATTGTCTGTACTGCCAAAAAGGTTTGAGTTAATTCTGGTCCTTAGCCAGAAGGGAAGAGGTGGCCTTGGAGATAAGGCAGCAATGGGCTAACAAGCATCACAGCAGAGAGAGGTCAAGCTGGACATATAATTGCCCAGATTATATGGTGGGCATCTGCAACCCCAAATTCCCTGTTGGATGGGGATTAATCCCTGAATTATATTGACAGGAGGCATTGTGGGTGCTTGTGATATGCACATGTAGAAGAGAACTTGTGGAGATTGCAGGGGTTCTCTGTAAACATAAAATTGAGTATTTCTGCAGTGACAGCACCAAGCAGTGTTGCAGGAGGACACTTAAGCTATGTAAGAAATAAGCCTGGGGAGTGAGGACTTCTATAGGAGTAGCAGTGCAGCCACCTGTCATATGATCATACTTTCAGAACAAAGGTGCTGTTTAAAATGGAGAAATTTATTGTGTAATTATTCTGGCATAACAGCATTAGAAACGGGTTGTTACACTGGTATGATTATGGGCTTCTACAAATGCACTCGTGAATTTTCCTGTGCAAACAAGCCTTATAGAGGGAAGTGCAGTATCTTTTATTGTTCCCTGATGAAAGAGTGAAATGCAAAAAGAGCAGTGCGCACAATCTGTCCTTTGAAAGGAAAACCAGCAGCTCTGAGTGTCCCTCTTCCTCTCAGGCAGACACAAAGGACTCAAAAGCAAGCCTGTTGTATGACTTCTTTAGTGTTCTCTGCCCCTCATGTTAATTGATGCATAGCACTGAGGAGGAACTAAATCCTGCTTGTTTTACTCAAGCAAATGATCCCATTGACTTGAATTAAGCTACCTGCGGGATTAGAAATAGAAGGATTAAGACCTTGGTGTAGCAAATTCATTTCACTCTTTTTTCAAATGCAAATAGTTGTCTCTCAACTGTCAGCTTGATTGCCTGTTGGTTGTTTTAGTGCAGTGAGGCCCTGATTCTGTTCCCTGATTGTGTCTCCTAAGCTGCTCCGTACCACAACCAGACTGCACAGAATAACTGGCAGGGCATTGGAACAATAGGCGCTCTAATAATTTTTTAAATATACATATATATATTTATATATAAATATATCTCAAAAAAAAGACAGGAAAACTTTCTAACAGGGAATTTGTTTCATTAATTAGTTAAATCCCTGAGCTTCCAGTTTGCAGTGTGGTTTCAGACCTTGTCTCCCTTTTATGTAGACAAGCTTTTGCTCACCTTTCTCCCCCTCTGTGATACTGAGAGATACTGATACTTGATATGCAGCATGGGAAGTCTCACATTATTTTACAACTGATGCAACCATCTTGTGAAACCACTTTGCAGCTCTTTCATTAAATACATTACTCAGTGTTAACTATAACCAAGAACATATTTTGATCTGAAATGTCATTTTAATCTGTAATCTATCATTTTAACAGACTTAATAGTTATTTTGGGTGGGAACAGCATTGGTAATGTATTGTTGGGTTTTATTTAAATTATTTGAAAAATGCAGAACAAGAGTCTGTTACTATGTTTATCAGAAGTATCCTGGTGTCTTGAAACTCTGCCAAATCATTCCTAATTGTATGATGCGTAACTTTTCTTTACCTTTACAGCAATGCTGAATCTTTCCTCAGCTTTTCTTCGATCATTTATTTGATCTGCCACGAAAGCTAAAGTTTAGCTTCTACTAAACAAAAAATGACACCAAAAAAAACAGAGCTACAAAAAACTAAATTCCTCACTTGGCCAATGTTAAAACTTTGTTTTAAAAGAAAAAATAAAATTAATGTTATGTTTCACTGAAAATTACTGCAAAATGAAAGCAGTGACATGCTATGATGTTATATATCATACCACGGAGTTGAGTTCTAAAGAGAAACAAATGAAAAAAAAAAAAGGAGGAAAACCAAGAAAAAAAATAACTTAGTAAAGCACATATAAACGTTGAGGCTGTTTTTAAGAAAATATAATATGTATGTTGTCATCTAGAGTGTCTCAAAATTGTATTTTTAAATAACATGCTCTAAAATAGAGAGCACTTCTCTACACTACAAAGCACTTTCGGCTTTGTAGCTGGATGAGTGACTACTGCCTGTATCCTTCTGAACCTAGAAATTATTTGAAAAATGGAGCTCATTAGAAGCAGCACATTCTGTATAACCCTCAGAAACTGAGAGGTGCTCCACAGAGTGTTTGGATGTCAGGCTCACAGCTGCGTTTGCCTACTTGGATCCTCCAAAAGACAGTACCCCTGTGTATCTTCCATCTCACTCTTCTTATTGAAGAGTGAGAACTCAAAAGTTGGCATGCTTACCTGAAGCAATACTTCAGGTCTTCTTTCTGGAAGCTTTAATGTTGTTGGTTGTTTTAATGTCTTGCCAGTACAACCTTCCTGGTTTTGGGTTTATCATTAAATTGTCTCAACTTGGCAGTAAGACTCCTTTGAGGGAATGGAGCCACTGCACCCCTCAGAAGATAGGAATCTAGGATGCCAAATCATCATCAAGTTTAATAAAAGAATAGGAAAGAAACAATAGATTATCTGGCAGCTCTAACTTTGCAGCAAGGAAGATTGTGGAGTGGGACATTTTATGCCCATGTGTTTTCTGCGAGAGCATTTACTGGACCAAGGGAGGAAAGCCAGGCAGTACTGGGGTTGTATTCAGCACAGTGCTGTCATGTGCATGGTCACATTTCCACAGCAATTTCCCTGTGCAGCAGGTGGAAGAACTGATCTTATGTGGGTGATCATTATTTCCTTCCTTGTATTCACAATAGTACATGGATGCTATCATGATTGTCAGCATTTACCAGCTGTGGGGAAAAAGAATGTCAAACACCTGGATCATTATTTATTATGACTGTAATTTGTAATGATATCTGTAACATTTGCAATTCATAACTCTTACTCCTGATTTGTTTCCTATCACGTGAAATAAAGCTATCAATCATAGTATTTATACACCACTGCTCTGGAAGAAAGTCTTGGGACTGTAATATTATTAGCATTGGTAATAATTCCTGTGACAGGTAAATATGAATTTATACTGACAGCAGGAGTAGCAACCTGTGAGAACCACTGAGGCTTTCACAGTTAAATTCCAAAATAAATTCCCCAATTCCTGTGTCTTTCCCTAACCTGTTAATGTCAATAACTACCAAAAAAAAATTTTTTTAATGGATTATTATTTGTAATATTATATATGGGTATTCTCTGTGCTTTTGTGCTTATTTTTCCTTGAAACAGCATGCTGGTACTTAATGTAGACACCTGCTACTTTTAAGAAAAGAACAAAGGCTAGGTAATTTTTTACTACTTAAAAATTATATATGCTGTAATTAACAAAACATAAGCAAAAAGCTTCACATGCTAGTCCCTAGAAATGATCTGTATTTTAAAATAACTTCAAGTGAAAATACAGAGACCATCTCATTTAACTTAACTGATTTGCAAACAGTCTTCAGGCACTGTGTT